AAATAAAATCTTAAAAAAAAAAAAAAGAAAAAAAAGAGTGAGAAGAAACTCTTCTGAACATCATCCCATAGTAAAGGTTACCAGCCTCAAGTGAGCAAGACACAGAGAGGAAAAAGAACAGGTGGAATCAAGAGTTCCCAAGAGACACCGAGCCTTTCCCAAGAGAAGGACACCGCTTCCTTGATCCCGACAGGGGCTTTCCATCATCTCAGTAAAGCGCACAGCACGGTGATCTGTGGAATGCAAGGAGGCAGCCAGAAGCGGCCAGCAGTGCATTCATTCAGTCATTCAAGAAGCACTGACAGAGCAGCGTCGGACGCCAGGCCCTCTCCCTGAGCCAGGAACACTGACGCACGACACACGCAAGCCTATCCTCTTAGGAAGTCTACGTTCTAACGCATGTGTTTGGGCTACAGGGAGTCAAGTGGCAAGAAACTAATAAGCACGCAAAACCTGGAGGATGAAATCAGGGTGGCTTCATGGCCACGGCAGCAGGATGCTCCAGGAGAGTCTCTGGGAGGACAGAACACTCCGGCTGAACTGCAGGCGACAACACCTGGAAAGCGACGCAGGCAGTGGGAGAGGCTGGCACCAAGGGCCCTAAGGTGGGAAGGAGATTAGTTTCCTTGGGAACAGAAGGGAAGCTGCAGGCCAAGGAGAATGGTGCCCAATGACAGGGACACAAACTTCACAACCCAAGGTCAGAAATTGAGATTTTTTCTCAGGAGAAGAGAAAGCCACAGAGGAGTGGAAAGTTGGACTATCACATTTTCATTTGAAAAGGATCATTTGGGTTTCTTTATGCGAATGGTCTAATCTAGCTCCTTTGTGAAGGGAAAAGAAGCAAGCAATTCAGGGAGTGAGCACAGGACCTTCCAGGACACCCAATTGTAAGAAAGCTGGCTGAAGATGACCAAGAGGCCTGGTAGGGAGGGAGTTTGGCTAGAGGCAGGTATTATGAATGGTGTGGACCCAATTAACCTGGTATAACGGGTGCTGGGACCCCTGGCCCGCTGAGAGAGAAAGAAGCAGTGGGACGTCACCCCGGCCGTACAGGAATAAGGCAGAAATTATGGAAAATTACTCACACGTCTACAAACTCCTGAGGGGCCAGAAAAAGACCAGGCTGTCCCATTTTAGAGCTCCGAAGAACTAGAGTGAGGGACTGATTTCAAAGCCTAAAATAATGCCTATGATTTCACCACTGCCTTTTGCCACCATGGTAACTCAACACTGAAGAGCTTTTCCTAAAAACCTACAAAAACCGGGAGAGGGCAAAGCAATCAGGACGCCTCACGTTTCTAATTCAGTGGAGTCGCAGCGCAGAGGAAACATTCCTCAAGCATTTCCCGCCTCCGGCCCAGAAGCCCACCCTGCTGGGCCACCTGCCTGTCCTTGACCTTGTGTACTGGGTGCGGCATCTTCACCGTACAGCACAGAAGGACAAGAGCAGAAAGGCTGCCTACGTCACAGAGAAGCCAGCGAGAGAACGTCACACCCTGATGCACGTGCGAGTCCCCAGCTTCCCCGCAGACAACACGCATGCCGTCCACAGCCACATCTACACAGCAGCACCATCCAGGTCTCATACCAGAGCCACACCACACTTCGGCCAGATGGCACTCGCTCTCGCCGGGCTCTTTGCACAGATCCACCACATCTCTGCACATCGTCTCGGGGGTCACAGGGACCTCGGTGAAGTGCTGCTCGCTGTCACTGAGGTACACGGTGAGAAACATCTGCCAACAGAGAGAGACAGAGAGAGAGAGACAGCCGCTGTCAGTATCCACACTGTGCCTTTCAATCTTCAGTCCCCTTGGATCCCCTTCCCTAGCCCCCGTGCAGAGTGGCGCGGCAGTCCGGCCCCTCAGCGAGTGGAGCCCGCAGAGCCTCCAGGATCATTGGGGTTCGGGCAAACAAGTTCACACAAAGTCAGGCTCTGAAGCTGTATTTGTTATTCGTCTGCCAAATACTTACACGGTTCCTCATAGGTGCCAGACCCATGCTCGAAACAGACCCTCCTACCAACACTGGGAGATTCGGGGTAGCTGTGGGCACCCTTCTGTCCACACAGCCTCTTTGGCAGGAGACCTAAGAGCGTGCTGCTCTGGCGGTGGATCTGGGAAACAGGACACAGAGCCTGGAGGGAAATCTAGCATTCATACCACGCGCTTCAACCACCTACTGAAAAAATCGTACTTATGAGGCTAAAATGTTTTAATCAAATACCTACATTATAGTCTAAGTCTTCATCAACAAGGTGTTAACCGAGCAACGGGCTGTCAGGCTAACACTCACCCAGCCTCGCAGAGAATATAAAGCAGCCAGCAGAAGATCTCCATCTCCAACCCACTAGCCACCTTTCTTCTAGTAAACACAGACGTTGGCTCTTAAAAACACTGAGTCAAGAAATCAAACTTTCACGCCGATAAACTATCCCGCGAAAATGTGAATTCCCAGTGCTGAAGAAACTGACCCAGCAAATAAACCGCAGATGGCAACCCACGAGCACCTCCTCCATGCAGGTCTGCGTGTATCAGGATAAAACACACACAGTCTGAAAGCAATCCCCCTGGGAGCACTGATCCTGCGAGAATAATTCTTCCCACGAAAGGAGAAGGCCAAGGCTTTGGCGGGTCCACTCTGGACCAGCACACGTTCTATAACAGTGATTAATGGGCCGCCAACACTGGGAAAAGTTGGGGGTTTAAGGCCACAAAAGAGCAGAATGAGTAGGACCCGCACTGGGCTCAGGAGGACACGGGCCCACCCACAGCAGCGCACCTCCCCCTGGGGCTCAGCCTTCCTCGCCCACCTCCAAAAAGCAGCACGAGGCTCTTCTCTGCAAAAACGCAGGGCCTGCTTATGGCGAGTGATGGACACCAGCCAAGTGGTCAGGCCGGGTGCCGCAGGAGTGTGGTCAGGTGAGAGGAGGAGCCGGCAGGGGAGAACACCGCCCCACCCCAGGGTGAGCAGGCTCAGCACCAGGCACCTTGCAGCTCCTCCTTCACCCTCGACCACGTTTCCTTAAGGTCACCGCGTCCTTCCCTTTTCCAGCCAAAGCTCTCAACTCACAGGAACCCATGCAACACACTGAGTCACCTGGCCCATGAGAGCACGCAGCAGGGAACCCAGAAAAATTAACACAGTGGATACTGGTGAAACAGCAAATAAAACATGGGAAAAAACCATACGGCTTCCCAGGATGAGCTGAGCAGCTTTCAAGCTAATCCTATGCGGTCCTTCCCCTCCCAACAAACCGTATTAATAAAGACACATCGTTCCAGGCTTCAACCAGAGAAGAAGGGAGCACTTTAAAACCACACAGAAAGCCTAAAGCCTTGACAAAAATCACCTGGAAAAACATAAAAAAGATTGCCTATGCTCACAGACTTCCAGCCTGCCGCAGCTCCGACAAACCATAGGGCACATTTCATGACACTCCAGAATTCCACAGCGGCTCTCTGAGCTCCCCACCCACCCAACACTGTCTGCGAAGTTGAACACTTCAAAACCAGGAAGTGTCTGCGCTGTACACAACAGACAAGTGTTTGTGGAACTGCAGGGATACTGAGTGCGCGCAGCCCGCACAGGTCCTAGTACTCCACCCCCACCCCCCACCCCCCACCCCCGGGGGGAACGTGGTGGGGCGAGGGGAGTACTAGGACCCATGCGGGCTGCGCAAGCAGCTCAGAAACTCACATCAACCCCAGATGAGCAGAGCCAGCACAACTCTCTCTTTACATATGAAGAAATCGACTTGCTACTAAAATGACAGGGTTAATTCTGCTCTTCAGATCCATTCTTTACTCTTCGGGCTGTTCCTTACAGCAGGAAAATATTGGGAAATGCTCTATGTAACCCCAACTTTAATAGGGATCTGGTCTTTTACTTTCTGGAAAACAACAGCTTCGTTTACTTAAAGGTATGATAACGAATAAGAACGATGAGAGATGTGTTCTGTTTAAGGTTACCTTTCCCCACAAACCCACAGCATTGCATGAACGGCAGGTGCATGAGCTGACCCATTACCACCTCCCGCGTGTGAGGACTTGCTCAGTGCTGGCTGCAGGGCCCGTCCTCACGTGCTTGGGCCGGTGGCTGGTAGGTGGGTGGTGTGACATTGCTCAGGACTCCCGGGCAAGAGGTCTGGGCTCTACCTCCAAATCTGTTAATTATTAGCTAGACCTCCTTGGGGAAACCACGTCACCTCTCGGAGCCTTAGTTCCCATCTTCAAAGTTGAGAGTCTTGTGCTCCCAGCACTGCCACCAACTTCAGGGGTCAGTGTCAAAGCCGACCTTCCTACAACAGCCGGCACGCTACAGCCAGTGTTTGGGCCGGAGCAAGGGCCTGAACAAATGCAGTGAGAAAGGATGGGTTTCATAGGAAAGAGGGGTCTGGTGACAAAATGGGGGAGAGAGCAGCACTGTGTGTGAGCAGCGCAACTCGGGAGACAGTAAATTCAGGAGGAAAAGGAGGGCTGCTCTGCTTTGTGGCCGAGTCAGGCAGGGAGCCGGGGAGGGAGGGGGAGCTGGTCTGGCTTAGAGGACTCGTGACCTGACCAAGCCAACACCTGCCACCACTGCCTCCCCAGGCCTCCTCTCCTAATCCCCTCCATCTCAGCCATCCTGCCCGCCAAGCCTATACACCTGCCCTGCGCCGTCTGCAGCCGGCCTGCCTGCTCCCCAGGCCTGCAGGTCTGCACCGCCTTCCCAGCGAGGGTCTCCCCGCTATCCTTGCCTAGATCCCGACACATGTGTGGACACGCCCGTGCACACGTGCATACCTCCCTGCTTTGGGCTCTCCTTGGCACGGTCCCTCAGGTACCACACTTCGTATTCAGTTAAATTGGCTTTACCCTCCGTCAGCCCTTCTGGAATATCCGCAGTACGCAAGCTGGGGGTCTGTCTCTTTAGCGCCACATCCTCTGCCCCGCGGACCACGTGGCCCAGCACACGGCACGCACACGGTAGGTGCTTGTTTGCAGACAAGCGGGTCCTGCATGTTACAGACTCCCCTCGGACTTGCTCTCACCCCGAGTCCGCCTCCGTGTGTGCCGAGGTGCAGCAGAGCACACAGCCGCCACCGGCCACTCCAATGGAACAGAGAGCTAGTGTCCTCTTGGTCCTCCTGCTGGCCCCAGCCAGCCATCCTCCTGCTTCCACACTTTCCCTTCATCTGGTACTGACAGGCCAGCTGCTCTACGGACTCGGTCCTACTGTGCAGGTTACCTTTACTGAACAGCTAACACAGCACACGGCCCAAAATTCAAAACAGGGGGGGCCATGTGGAGAGGGGACATGGGTGCCACAGGCTTCTGCACAGGGCAGGGAGCGGAAGGCGGGCAGAGTGCATCTGGAGGGGCAGCAAGGGGAAGGGATGAGAGGGGTGTCAGGTCACTGCTCCTCAAACTGGGGTGCAGACAGCTGGGCTCCATCCTCAGTCTCTGACTAAGTGGATCCGGGAAGAGGGCCAAGATGCTGCATTTCTAACAAGCTCCCATGTGATGTGGACACCACTGGTCTGGAAGCCACTGTTCAAAGGCCAGAGCTAGGAATCTGGACTTTAATCGAAGAGCCCACTGGAGGCAAATAGTTGAGAGACAGAGACACTGGTGACTACCAGGGAGCTGGGGGAGTGACTGCTAACAGCTACGGGGTTTCGTCTGGGGCGATGAAAATGCTGGAGTGAGTGTGAGGGTTGCACAACCTTGTGGAAAGTCTAAAAACCACTGAACTGCATACTTCAGAATGGTGGTGTGTGAGTCATATCTCAATTTTTTAAAAAAGGTCCTTGGAGGATTCCAAGCAGGGTAGCGAAGTGATGTCATCTAAAACACTGTGGCCACTGTGGGAGCAGATCCAGGGGACGACGAACACGCCATCTGAGAGGACACGCAGCACCTGAGCTTAGGGTGATGGCAGACGTGGGGAAACGGCTGGATATGGATCTTTTACAAAGGCAGAGCCAGAGACATGCTTACGGACAGCAGGCGGATATGAAAGGCAGGGAGAGACTGGTATGAACCTGATCTGCTGTCTTGGTGCCCCCCCCACCCCACCCCCCACCCTCTGGTGAGTGACGCAGGGAGGTGAGAAGGGGGCCGGCCGGGGGAGCCTCCAGGGCAAATCGGAGGCATCCATCAGCCACCAGAAGGGATATGTTACACCAGGCAACCACAGAGGTGCCTCCCCCACCCACGCCACTGCTGGGTGGACGCCGCTACCACCGCTGGCCACAGTATTTATAACTGCTACTTCTCCCTCCTAGAAAATTATGAGTAAAACAAAGCAAAGGCATCCCAACTTTGAAATACACTTTTAAACCCATTTCATCCACTTTTTTTTTTTTAAAAGATTTTATTTATTTATTTGACAGAGAGAGATCACAAGTAGGCAGAGAGGCAGGCAGGGGTGGGGGGAGCAGGCTCCCCACTGAGCAGAGAGCCCGATGTGGGGCTCGATCCCAGGACCCTGAGATGACCTGAGCCGAAGGCAGAGGCTTTAACCCGCTGGGCCACCCAGGGGCCCTGATTTCATCCACTTTTAAATGTATACATAAGTATGTCCCCAAGTTATGAAAGTTAAATATCATTTACATTAATATATCACTTATAATTTAAAATCTTTTAAGTTACAGTCTGGCCACAATTATGGGATTTAATGTGATAATTTATACCTATTTAAAATTTTATAGAAGTGAATCAGGGAGTTTCTTAATAAATATCACTTCTCTTCT